CTTGCAAGCTGAAGCAGGGAACTGCTAAGGCAGCTGCACCCTGGTGCGACCATCACAAAGCAAGAAACCTGAGAACTAGAAAGGCGAGGCTTCACCACCCATTTATCCCTCCTCCTTTCAATTTGCCCCACATGTGATTATCGGCCAGGTTGGCACAATGAACTAAGTCAGCTGGCTTTTTATACATACTGTCGCAAAATGTAGCAATGTAGTAAATGTTACTGTTGTGATTAAGACTGTTACCCATGCTACACCATCCTTCAAGACAAAATTTCATTTATTTGTCATTAAAAATAAATATTTCACAATATATAATTACGTAGTGTTTTTGTGATTAATCACTATGCTTTAATTATGTTCAATTTGTAACTTGGAAAATACATCCTGGGTATCGGATACTTACATGACAATTCATAACAGTAACAAACTTTCAGTTATGAAGTAGCAATGAAAATAATTTTATATTTGGGGGTCACCACCACATAAGGCGCTGTATTAAAGGGTCACGGTATTAGGAGGGTTGAGAACCACTGGCCTTGAGGGTACTCATGAGGCAACTTCTAGACAAAGCACTTTGCATGCCTTCCTGCACAAATGTAGAGGGATTAAACATCAATTAACCTTCCAGGAACCTTTTAACCGAAGAAGATTTGAGGGCGCGCTGATGGCCTCGTGGGTTAAATATTGGGCCACTAACCACAAAGTCAACAATTTGAAACCACCAGCTGCTTCATGGGAGAACTAAACCCAAACCCAACTGCCATTGAGTTGATCCCAACCCCTCAGGACCCCGTATGGCAGAGAAAAACTGCCTCTGTGGGTTTCCAAGACTACAACTCTATGGGAGTAGAAAGCCCTGTTCTGCCCTGCCCTAGATTGTCACGAGGAGTCAGAATTGATTGGATGGCAGTGAGTTTGGTTTTTTTAGTAGGTCTAATGACTTGTTTTTGAATATAGGTATAGCACTTTTAAGAAACCTGAAAAAACACAGATGTATACCAAAGGTAATTAAGGTGCCTCTTGCTTTGATGAACAATTAACAGGAGTGTTCATTTGGATTGGGAGTAATACCCAGTACATTTCATATCTGGTTTGTTATGTAAATGTTCATGTCACCCATCTTATGTAGGCTTGTGGCTATCTAGCTAAACAAACCTAGTTTTTACTTCCTTTCTACACTGGGACATTACCATTAGTGCATCCTTTAGGTGAGATTTACTTAATTTAGTTTTCAAAAGAAACTGTTCAGCCCAGAGACTCACAGACCCTCAGAATTTTGCCAAACCTAGACGTACTCTTAGACAATGGGCTTAATTCCCTGAACACTGAGATGGGTATTGGTGGTAAAGCCCTCAGAGACCTCTCCACATCTGGGCTTCCTATTCCAGGGCCCACCAGTGGGTTTTGATGTATCTACTAATTCCTGAAATTTTATTTAGTTTTTTTTGTCCAGGCCTATGAGCACTTTAGAGGAAATATTGTTCATTGCTTTGGTGTAACTGAGTCATGGGGCAGAGCGATGCAAGGGCATTTTTGTGCACATTCCATCCAGGATGTAGATGTCCCAGAGATGGTGCTTGGCCCATCTCATCCTGGAGCCATTACTGTAGCAAATTCACTGCCTTCAAGGCAATTCTGACTCATAGGAATTGACCTTATGGGACCTAGTAGAACTGCCCCTGTGGGCTACGGAGATTGTAAATCTTGATGGGAGCCAAAAGCCTCACCATTCTCCCACGGTGGGTTTGAGCTGCTGACCTTATGGTTAGCAGTCCAGCATGTAGCCCACTATATATCAGGGTACACAGCTGCTGACTGAAAGGTTGGAAAGGTTGGAGGTTTGAGCCTAGGCAAATGCACTCAGTAGTGAGACCTAGTGATCTACTGCCAAAAAAATCCAACCATTGAAAACTCTGTGGAGTACAAATAGTTATCCTCTCAGTGCCCTTGAGTCAATGCTGACTCATAGAGACTCGCTGTGGGTTTCTGAGAAGGTACCTGTTTCCAGGAGTAAAAAAGTCCAGTCATTCTCCCTTGGAGCTGCTGGTTGATTTGAACTGCTGACCATGTGGATTGCAGGCCAACACTTAACAACTACACTACTAGGGCTCCTTACAAAATGCTACCACCAGAGCTCCATACAACACACACACACACACACACACACACACACACACACTCCTTCCTAGAATTAAAAACTGAATCTCAGTTTGATCATAAGGACAGAAAGTAAGCTCTCTAGCTTCCTCTGGTATTCAATTATCTCTGATTCCAACTAGTCCACTGGGAATCTGGGGTCGGGTAGCTGTGCTTAGAAGCTTGACTGTATCTCAGCTGCACACATTTCTAGGCTCCTGGAAGGAACTCTGTGTTTATGCTTCTCTGTGCTCTAAAGTAGTAGGTGCTGAGAAACACATGTGTCGACTCAATGGATAAATGAGTAAAAGAACACCCAAATCAACTAGTAACCAAATCACTAAATTAATATGTAGTCTACCCTCTTGAGGGTGGCCCTGTTTAGTTAAAACAGAAAAATGGAAAAAGGGATTGTTTAAATGGTATTTTTTTTTCCTGTCCCAATGTCATCCTCTACAGAGCAGGAAAGGAGAGAGAGAAGAAGAACAAAAAATGCTGGAGCTAGACAGGTTATCAATGATTTTGTGTTTCTATAAAACCTTTCTGGAAGTGGTAATCTTTCTCTTTTTAACATTTCAGCTATCCAACTCGATAAAGTCAATCTTAAAATGTACTGTGTATGGTCGCTTCTGGATAACTTTGAGTGGACCCAGGGATACAACAGCCGGTTTGGTCTCTTCCACGTTGACTTTGAAGATCCAGCTAGACCTCGAGTCCCTTACGGTTCAGCCAAGGAGTATGCCAAGGTCATCCGAAACAACGGCCTAGAAGGACATCTGTAGAAGAGTGGGCTGGGTAGTACCCATCTAGAGAAGAGCCCTCTGCTCTTGAAAAGGAGATTTGTGTTGATTTTTCATACAACCTCAAGTTGCCTTTCTAATCAACAGTTCTTACCAGCTGATCTGTAATTAAGAATTCTGAATATGTAATGCCTCAGGAAATATTTAATGATGGCCTTTCATTTATTTGTATTCGGATCAATGAAGCTTTGGGAAAAAAATAGAAAATCACTGAAATTGGTTTTTCAGTTAAGAAATCAGATAGACTTTAGAACTTTTCAATTTAAAACCATTAGATTGTTTCTCACACAAAATCATCTAAAACTTATAAAAAGAATGGGCTCATCATTTGTAACAGTCTAAGAGTAGACAGTGTATAAGAATACTTGTGTATGAGCCTGTTTTTCCTGATTACATTATCTATTATTTGCTTAGTAGATCTATCATTGCCTATGTCATGATTTTTGTACTGTTTCATGTAAAATATAACCCAAGGTAAAAGTTGATCACCTTGTAGGAGTTCTCCATTTTATTCAACAAAGGAATGATTTGGTCACCTATGTAACACAATGGACTGATGGCACATGTTTTATCTATCTCTGAACAAGGATCTTTCTCTTAATCTATGACTTTTTTGAAAAATGACAAAAATAAATAAACTTTGAATGACAGAAATGTGTTTGAGGGGTGATGTTCAGGAAATACTCGTACCTTCCACGGAAATCTCACCAAGTGAAAGGTGACGTCGTAAGTGGGGCACAGTCTCCACTTTTGAGTGGTTTTAAAATGTAAGGTCCACTAGAGCATCTATGGCACATTCAATGCATATGATACATGAATGGATGTTCAACAGTTCTCTAAGCACAAGAAGGGATTCATTGCGTTGGTTGTTGACATCATTGTGCCTTATATGGAAAAGTTGGTGGTGTGAATTTACTGAGAAGCCCTCAGAAGGGAGTCCTGGAGATCTACCAGTGAAAGATCCCAGCCATTAAAAACGAAAGGGGTCACATGAGTCAGGATAGACTTGAGGTTGACGGGATTAGTTGCTTGCTTGTTTGTAGTTGGAAATTTTGCTCAGCTTCCTCTTTAGTGGTACATGGTAGATGAAGGAGTCCTCTGGGCTACAGCTGTGCCTTCCAAGAGATGTTGAATCAGATCCCCCATATACATATGAAGGGGTACCTACCAAGAAAGCGGGGGTGGGGGGGTGGGGGGGAAGCTCCTCAGGGTGGAATTTTCCTAGTATGCATTTTTCATGCAAGGCAAGCATCAAGCAACTCACTGACTCACTCTGAGTCAGTGCACCCTGTGGTGTCAGCTGGGGAGGTTCTCCAGGGTCACAGTGAATGTTTTTGTAAAGGCAGTTTCACTGGACCTTGTTTTCTGTGATGGCTGATTTAAGAGAACAGCATGGGGCTGTCAAATTTTGTTTCCTGCTCAGGAAAAGTGCTGCAGAAACGGTTGTGATGTTGAACACATCATACAAGGACAGCACTATGGGGAAAATTCAAGTGTACCAGTGGTTTTCTTGTTTCCAAAAAGGTAAAATGTCGATTGATGACAAACCTCATTCTGGACATCCATCATCTTCCTGAATGGATGAAAATGTCAACTTGTTGTGCATTTGGAGTTCATTCACCAGGTCAGACTGCTAATCAAGCTTTCTATTTAGAGGTTCTGAAAAGATTGGGTTACAGTGTGTGACACAAAAGGCCTAATTTGTGGCAGATGGAAGACTAGTTTTGCCACCACAACAATGCACCTGCTCACACAGTCTTCTCAGAGTGCCAGTTTTTGACAAAAATAACATGCCTCTCTTGTCCGACTCACCTGACTCACCTGACCTTGCTCCATTCAACTTTTTTTTAGTTTCCATGAATGAAGAGGGACCTGAAAGGACAGTGATTTGATGGCGTAGAAGAGGTGAAGAAAAAAATGAGGGAGGTGCTGTCAGCCATTCAAACAGATGATTTTGAAAAATGTTTTCAAGAATGGAATTGCAGATTTGACAAATGTATTAAGCATAATGGAGAGTACTTAGAAGGTGATAAGGTGATTTTGTAAAAAATTTAAATACAGTTTTGAAAAAGAATTTCGTTATTTTGGGTACCCCTTCATATTCAAGTGGTGCCTACTGTTGCTCTTGATGTTCAGTGCCCTCAAGTCAGTTCCAAACCACGAAGACTCCCTGTACGACAGAACTAAACACTACCCAGGCCTTTGCCATCCTCAAAAGCATTCGTCTGATTGAGCCCATTGTTTGAGCAGTCATGGTGTTGTACCCATCTCATTGAAGGTCTTCCTCTTTTTCGGTGACCCTCTACTTTACTAAACATGATGTCCTTCTCCAGAGACATGTCCCTCCTAATGACGTGTCCAAAGTACACGCGGCCGAGTCTCACCATCCTCCTGCCAAGGAGCATCCTGGCTGTGCTATTTACCCATCAGGATGAAAGCTAAGTGGTAGATATCATCATTCCCATTTTCTAGACTGAGAAACTGAAGCCAGACTACAGTGCAGCATCCTCCAGGGACATTAGTGCTTCTTCCTCAGGCCTGGCCCTGCTTTTGCATCTGCCCTGTTCTCCGCCTAGCAAACCCAAGGTTGGCGTGGCTTGGAAGTGTTCAAGTGAAAGGAAAACAGAAGCAAAGTCATGGGGTTGTTTGATGGTGAGGAAACTGGAAGATGGTTGGCCATGTTCTTACTCTGCTTCCCTGGACAAAATCATATAGACTTGCTCACTCTCAGAGGATTTGGGGCCTTGAGCAGCTGCACGCCTTTTCACCCAGACTTCAACATTGGGGTCCTGTTCTGGATCATTTTCATGCTCATCATCCGGGGATTGTTTACAGCCAAGAACACATGCGCACTAATTTTGGACAGAGTGAGAAAGAAATCGCAGTAGTAGTTCAATAAATGTGGATGCACTGGGGAAAATCATATTAAGATGAAAATGGAACACATAGGAAATTCTATTACATCTTTGCTACTGGTTTGTTATTTTTATTGTTCAATGAGACATTATCTCACAATTTGTGTTCATTTAAAAAGCACATTCCCAAATCTTATTTCATTCCTCTCCTATTCAGCCTGTCTTTTTCATTTTCACCATTTATCTTCTTTACAATTTACGTGCCCTCTTATATTATCTTGTGAGACAACCGAGTTTTCCTTTTAATTAGGATGTTGCTTTGAATATTACTTCTCCTACAGGGCACATTTACAAGTTTTACAACAATACAAACGAGCACTGTATTTTCGTTACCAAAACCAGAAAATTAATATTCACGCTGTAAATAAAGCAATCTGTCACTTTGGTCTACCAGGTGAAATAAACATCTTAACTGCTGGAGCCCATGATTTTGCCTGGGGACCTGCGGTTTTCTGCTGGGGTTTTAATCAGCCTTTTCTTCCCAGAAATGGACTGCAGTAATGGTGGGTCCCTAATTAGTCTATTATAGCAGTATTGCTATAAGGGTAAGTTAAAGGCCAATGAATAGATAAATAACAAATAAGTGATAGGTAGGTTGATAGGTAAGTAGGTAGGTAGGTAGGTAAGTAGATAGATGATAGATAAATTATAGGTGGGTAGGTAGATGATAGATAGACAGACAGAAAGATAACTCAATTTCAAACTCACTGTCATTGAGTTGATTCCTACTCATCATGATCCTATAGGATATAACTGCTCCATATGTTTCCAAGATTGTAACTCTTTATGGGAGTGGAAAGCCACATCTTTTTCCCTAGAAGAGGCTAGTGATTTCAAACTACTGACCTTGCCCAATTTGTAACCACTACTAAGCTAGAAGGGATCAAATAGACAGATAGATGATAGATAGATAGATAGATAGATAGATAGATAGATAGATGATAGATAGATAGATAGATAGATAGATAGATAGATAGATAGATAGATAGATAGATAGATATAGATAGGTATAGAGAGGCAAACAGACAGACAGATCCCAATCCCAAACCTAGCAATGCTTGCAGGATTTCAATTACTGTCATTCTCACTGGCTTGTATTAGCATTTGAGAACAAGACTGATGAGCTTTGCCTGTCAGGGAAACAGAACTGGATCTCTTTAAATGGGAAATCAAGAGTTGTTAATTATGCTAAAAAAATCCATAGATACTGTATTTGGATGTCTTGAAGGTCCTCTGAGGATTATAAAGCACATGCTTTATGTGTGTTTTATCTGAAGGGGAGCTTGGGTGGCACAATGATGAATGGACTCACTTTTCCTTCCTTTTTTTTTTTTTAGAGGAGATGGTGAACACATGGTGTTATCCTGGGAATCACTTCGAAAGGAATTGTTTTTCTTTTTTTTCCCAGGACAAATCTTTCAGTCTTGCTTAAAGCATTAAACAAACAAACAGACAAACAAATAGTAGCCTAGTTTTGTTTTGATGTGCAGGGCTGTCTTGTTTATAACTCCTGTGAACCCCAGGAGGAATTGCCCACCTAAGCCCTTGATTGAGCAAGAATGTGGGGATTTTCATGGAAAAAAACAACCTGTAAAAAAAGGAGGCGGGGAACCTTGGTGGTTGGCCACAGCATGCCAGCCAGGTCTTTGCGTTCCTTGGAATGTGTGTTGGGTCCACTGCTTGTAATTATGTTTTATAAAAGAGGGAGTAATGAATACACACGTAATATATTGAACCGAATTCCCCCATACCGATTGACCCCAAAGTAGATTTATATGATAATCCTTAAGCACTGATTCCAGTGCTAGGGAGAAAGAAAATATAATTTGAACCTCGTTATTGAAAGAACAGCATATAAATCAGAGCTGAAGGAATTAATACTGTTTAATTATAAGCAATAACAGATTCATCTCTGAGCACAGGCCTTGAGGCTCTCGGGTCATGGGAGGGATATGGCACCGAGTCCAAAGCAAGAGGAGCTGTAAAGAAGGCAATGAGGAGGGGTTTTGATGTAGACACACTCTGTGGTTATTGCGAGAGTTAGGCATGGCGGCAGAGTGAGCAGGGTATAAACCTCATATAGAAGGGTAGCAGGTGACGTGGGGAAGAAGAAATGGTAGAAGGATGCCAATAGACTCATGGGGAAGAGCGATGCCCAGGGAACACGACTGAGTGTTTTCTGAGGAGAGAGGGCCTACTGTCTCAGAGTTTCCAGGTATCGGCAGACCAATGACTGGCTTCAGATTGCCCTTACTTGAGAAACTATTGGTATCTGCTAGGAAGAAACTATAATTGTCAATATTAAGAAGGCAGGCTCTGGGGTCAGCCCACTTGGATTTAAATCCTGGTTTGGCCATGTTTGGCCATGTGCTAGCCAAGGGTCATTAAATCAGGTACTCATCTTCCTCTTGCCTCAGTCTCCCCATCTGAAAAATTGACACAATACCGAACCCTTCTTTTTAAGGCTGTCATGTAGGTTAAATAAGCTGATGGTTGCAACATGCTTAGACAAGTTCCTAGCATGTGATAAGGCCACAATTAATGTGAACCATTATTTTTCTGATCATCAGCACTGAAAACCTAGCTGCCACATCAATCCATATTTATTAGACTAAACTATATTGTAAGACTTCATCAAAGGTACTTTGGACATGCTATCAGGAGAGACTAGTCCCTGGAGAAGAGCATCAGGCTTGGTAAAGTGGAGCGACAGAGAAAATGAAGACCCTTGTGTTAGTC